TTCAGCATCTCTTTGCATATGAAGTATAAATATTAAAATATTTATACTTCATTTATTTGGCTATCTAGAATAGAATAAATATTGATATTGAATTGAGCACAAATATGTAAAATATTTTTACACCTGAAAGAAAGAAAAATGTGTTACCTTAAATAAGCCAAAGTCCTGTTAAGATGGCACCTATTTTGCTTTTATAAACTAAAAGGAAGGCTGCTATTAATGAAATAATCTATTTTTCTGATCACTTAATTGTTCAGATGCATTTTCACAGTATGCTTGAAAGTACACCTTAAGAATTGTGGCATATTTAGTGAAGTGTAAAAAAAATTTCCCCTTATTTTCAGTGAAAAAATTGATCTTGAAATGTAAACAATTTTAACTTTGCAAAACTATTGCTATAATCAATATAACATTTTTTTCCAATTGGGTTAGTTAATTTTGCCATTATGTATGATTTCTAAGTATGATTTAAAATATATAGATGTGATTTTTATTTTTAAATCATGTGTAATGTGTTTTGTAACTTGGATTTAATTTTAGCTGATTTTTACATTTATACCTACTTGAGTCATTTGATTAAACATGATAAAACTTAAATTTTGTTTCTGAAGCATTTTATAGTTTTAAAAATCTGCTGAATGTAAATTATTTTAAGCTGGATAATTTTTTATATTTTTCTGATTATCTCATTTGGACAAATGGTCATTTTAGTGTGAGGTACCAACATACAAGAGAAATTGTCTAGAAATTGCTCAATTTTTTTAGATTTTATTATAGGCACTAAGCATGCTTCTTTCTTTACCCTTTTCCATGGAGTAGGGAGGTGCTACTTGGAAGATGGGTCGTTAATATCTGACAAAGAAAAAAATCATGAATTGAGTTGTAAAGGATAGAAAACTCAGGTGTAGATAAAACAATTGAAAACTTCTTTATAGAATCTGGTTTATGTATTTTGGTTTTGATATTCTATTAAGTTATTCAAATGAAACTATTATTGAGAATTTGTTTCTGGAAACCTTTCTATACTTTCATTTTAAACACAGTGGTTATGGAAACAGCTGAAATTTTATAAATTCTGAAAACTGCAAGCATCTAAAGTGGCATTAAGTATTTGCCTTGTTTAAGGTTCCAAATAAAGCTTGTCATGTTATATTTATTTGTTAGGCAGTAATCCTGATTTCAATCTGTCTCAATAATAATTTGCTTTCTCATGATCTGATAGTTTCTGGTTATAAATGCAGAATTAATTTGTATAATAATTTCAGTCATTCTGTATATTATAGTTCTGTTTGAAATAGATGTTGGGTTTTATGATTTGTCATTTTAGTATAAACATTGTTGTTAAATATCTTTTCTGATATGTTTTTTAGAAAAATATACATAAGAAATGAGTCTAATGATCATATTATAAAAGCAGCAATAGTGAATATAATTTCAATATGTTATTTAAAGTTGCTGATATATCATCTTGCATGTAGATTTATGTGAATAGTAATAGTATTGCTCCTTTTTATTATGAAATGTTATACTTTATTTTTATTAATTCTTGCCTAGCATTTCTTTCATGTTTTTTCTTGTAAATTCCAGACTGTCATTCCATAATTGTTAGCAAGCAGCATGGATTGGAAATAAAGAATAAACCTTCAGAAAGTCACAAATTCACATTCCCTATTCTGCTTTTCTGTCATCTGCCTTACTGATTGTTAGGGGAAAAAAAATAACAACCTACAACAGTCATTCAGATATAGACAGAGGACTTTATTTCTCCTAATTACCTGATACACCACCATCTTTTTGTTTATGCATACTAGTAGCATTAATTGTTATATTATTTGAATTTCATAGATGAAACATTGCCTGCTGTTATTTTTTGAGTAATATTTATTTCAGCTTAGTTTTTTTTTTTTTTTTTTTTTTTTTTATTGCGACTCTCAGAATGTCATTCCACAATTGTTAGTATGCAGCTTGGATGGGAAATACCTTTGAAAAAGTTAATAACTGACAGTGCTTCATTTAGGAAAGTTGAATATTCATACATTATTTTTGTTTATAATGTAATTTTTTTTCTGCATATTTTTGTATTTTCAGTGACCTAAAATGATAAAAATAATCTCATGAAATTGCAATACCTTCTAATCTGTCTCATATGCTTAAATCTTGTGTAATATATAGGCTGATTTTTGTGTTAGTGGGGGAGATGTACAGTTGTGCAAAGCATTGGTAGAAATAGTGATATCCACTTTCTATGCTTTAAAGAGACTAAGAAAAATGATATCTGTAGTTAAAAAAGTCAAAGCAAATATGCAAGAATATAAGCAAAACTTTTATCAAATATTCTGGTACTTTTTGTAATATTTAAAGGATACTTGAAATACATTTGCCATGTAATGAAAACTTTCTCTCATAAATACATGTTCAGTTAGGAAAATTTGAAGTATCTGTGTTCCCAGGAAATATAAGCCACTTGTTTGTCTTGAGTGAAAATATACTTAAAATATTTTGTTGACATAGCACTTGAGATACTTTCACAAATAGGAAAGAGATATATAGGTTAGAAAATTTTGAACCCGTATTTTAATTCAGTAAAAAAAATTTATTTGCAATCATTTTTCAATTTTGGTTGCTGTTGGGAGAAAATATGTCTTAGCAATTTAGTATTATAAACAAAACTATAAGCTGAGATTTGTTGCACAAATCACTCTGTTACTTAATTTCAGCGAGTTATATCCTCAATTGAATCAAATGAAATAACTATGATAAAAGTTAATATATAATCACTTTCTAATCAAGGATGTTATGTGACAATGGATTTTCTATACATCCATTAAAGATAATGTTGAAGTAATAAAATTCATGTTATTTTTATATTACATATATAAAAAGAAATGCTGGATTTTTATTAATACAACAGATTTTATTACTTTAACATTTTTTAGTGGATATCCATATTTTGGTACACAATCTGTTTATTTATTAACAGTATTTTTCATCTAACAGCCTGAATATTCGAGAACTGTTATTTAAAAAAAATAGTGCTCTCCAATATCTCTTTAATAATTTTTCTCAAATATTCAGGCTGGTAGACAAAATTAAATAAATATACTGTTTAATAATAAATGGAATGTCTATTCAAATATGGGTATCCTAAAAAATAACATATATATATATATATATATATATATATATATATATATATATATATATATATATATATGACTTTTAAATGCACCTTAATGAAAATAAGTTTATACTTTAGCGCAAGGCACATGAACCCAAATATGTTGATGTACTTACATAACTTTTTATTATGGACTTTAAATATAAAATTTTGCCTTGAGGTTTAAATTTAAGAGATGTTAAAATCTTTTGAAATGTTACTGTTTTATTAAAAAGTCCATTTTCTCTTCAATGGGTTCAGGTGGATTTACAAAAGGTTATTAAATTCTGACAATTAGCAATTTTTTAAGTTTAGGCACAGTGATAAAGAATGATAAAACTTGCAAGACACACTTATACAATTAATTTGCCTTGATTTTTATTTGCATGAGATCATGAAAATTTATAAAAATCATTCCTAACTATATACTGTTAGGGTTAATGAAAATAAGTGATATTTTTATAATTTCGTCATAAATTATTTCTTAGAAAAATACTTGTCCAAATTTGAGTGCACAAATTTTGATTTTATCATCTTAAACAATTTCTTACAAATTGCAATTGGTTATTTAAAAATTCTGTAAACTTTGATGTTCCTTTTCGTGTTAGTATCATTACCAGATTGGTAGCTTCTACAAGTTTAAATCTTGCAAGTTCTTATCGGTTTCCAGAAATTTTAATAAAGATCCTTTAGTAACTGAATAATTACACATAATGTGCGGTTGCAGTTTTCCAGATTTTGGTACTGAATTTTGCATTGATTGAAATAGCACATAGTAAAATTTGCTTATAGTGCAATTTATATAATCACACATTGATTTTTTTTTTTTTTTTTTTTATCCATCATAACTTGTTAATAATGTTGCAAGATAATTATTATTTTTATTAATTCATATTTTTCTAAAATATTTCGAAATGTTGCCAGATTTTAAATAATATAAGTGTTCATGGAGAATGTGCCTGTCTTTATGAAGCATTTCTTTTTTTCACGTTGGGTTGGTTTTGCTTTTTATATCTATTTGCTGTGGGCTCGTCTGTTCCATTTATGGATCGGGTAAGAGTCTGAATTTTGGATTCTACCATTCTCATGGAGTGGAATGCCTGTGGACAAAATTGATGGAGGAAAGCTTATTTGTGGTTTTTCAGGGTCCCAAAATTTCTTTTAAAGCCATTTGCATTCTGTGATTGATATTTTCACATATTTTGTTGTAGAGTAATGTGTTGGTATTTGATCATCACCAGCAGGGTAACTTGAGTAAAGAAGTCTGATGTTGGATAAACCCAAAACTTCTAAGGAACTCGGAGCAACATCACTGATGTGGCTGCAGACATCTTACAGTTGTATTTTTAAACTCTGAATCCCCTTCACAAGTGTTATGGCTTTTAATTTACTGATCTTAATATTCAAGTGTTATTGTTTTATGTTTGATACTTGTATAGGGAAACTGTTGTCTTATTTTTTCTTTTATTTTTTATTATTATTAACTGATAAAAATGATAAAACAGTATCTTAAAAATAGTTTTAATATTTTATTCCACATTTCTAATAAATAAAAATTTTGTCTATATCTGAAATTTTTTTCTATTACAGGTCAAGGTATCGATCTCGAAAGTCTAAAAGTAGAAGTCCAAGCCCTTATGTTCAAAAATGGACTCATCGTAGTCGTTCACGCTCTCGAAGCAGAGGGCGTCATTACACATGGCGACGATCTCGATCTCGTAGTAATTCCAGAGGCAGCAAAATCACTCATTCTAATGTGAAATATGCTACCACTATAGGAGCTGAATTAAGCAAATATCGAAAAGCTCGTGAAGCCACTAAGTCTGGCTTGTCAGAATCTAGAATGAGAAGATTAAAAAAAGGTGATTCACCTCAAGAAGTCATAGAAATAGAGAGGACACCAACACCTTCTTCTTCTCCAGAAATGCATGTCACCCCTGCCAGAAAAATAGAACCTGAACCTATACTCCCCAAGACAGAGCGAAGTGTGCGTGACAAAGGCGAAGAGGAGAAGCTTGTTGTGAAAGTGGAAACAATTAAGAGTAAATCTGGAGTTGTGTATGAGGCACGAAGAGTGGAGCACAAAGAAGAGCCCCCCGCATCACCCCTACCTGTTGCACCTGTTGTCCCCCCTCCTGTTGCAGTTGTGAAACCTGAACCAGTAGAACCTCCACCAGAGCCTGATAGAAAACAGGTGATGAGACGACTGCCACTTCCTGCAGTGTTACCTGTGGATGAAATTGACAGTGACTCTGATACTACGGAACAGTCACCGCCAAGGTAAGTAAAACTTTATTCCATCGCTGGGTTATACTATAATTCAATTTTGTTAATGTCTGGTTGTTGTTGTTTGTGTCTTTGGTTTTTTAAGTTCATAAAAACAAAAGCTTACTTTAACATTGAAATTTTATATCAGAATTTAGTTTATAAACAGTACCATTAGAAAGAAGAGTTCAGGGTAAATACAAGTAAAAAAAAAATTACCTTTAAGCAGATTAACTTTACTCAGATTATTTTGAGTAAAAATCTTAAAAAAAATCAATCTGTAATTTGTCAGCTTGGACTATTTTCAAAAATGATACATCAGCACCTATCAATATAGGTAATTTAGCTATAGAAAAGTATCTTTTTAAATTGTATTGCAATGCTAGAAAAAATAATTTGCTTTTTTCATACATTCACAGCATAGCCTACTTTCATATTAAAAGCAATCTCATCCTTTTTATTTATCTATTGACCTTTTCGTGGATAGTTTGGGAATTGTCTAAAATAGTTCATGTGATTATAACAAAAAAATCGCGTATGAATTCATGATATGCTTAGTTAATGTTAGAAAAAATATACTTTATATTTCTTGAATGCTCACAAGTCATGTAGCATTGGATAATAACCTTTACAGCAGCAAATCTTGTTAAAAATTTGAAATGTTTAGGTGCCCAATAAAGCACTATTTTGTATACATTTGCAATATAACTTCTTTTTTAACCCTAAAGAAAAGTAGTTTATATTTTTGTTTATCCATAAAGTAGGTATGATTGGAAATAGAGCAAATAATCTTGATATCTTAAAAAAAGACTATTCTTTACTTTAATTGTTATGAAAGTTGATAACACTTAAGATAACACTAATCTAAACTGTATATTTTCCTTACAACAGTCATCACCAGGTATTTTGGTATAGTATATATATATATATATATATATACTATACAAATTAATCACAAATATTTTCAAATTTGATTGATATTTAAAACATTTACAGTTGAAAATGCACTTTATCTTGTATTAATAAACAGCTGAATCCATAGTTGTCAAAACAAGAGCCATTGAAAAAGACATAGTAATTTATGTCCAAAATGTTGATTGCTTTAATTTGACCAAATTTAGTAATTTACCTTTTTTTTCTTTTCTTTTTTTCTTTTTTCTTTTCTTTTCTTTTCTTTTTTCTTTTCTTAATACTGTCCACATATTAACTTTCAGTCATAAAATCTTTGGCTTTGATAAGATTTACACACGCACACATTCATGAAATTGATTTGTGAGTGGTTCAATAATGTAAATCCTTAAAATAACATTGTTTTATTTGAATGTCCTCAAATATTATTTCCACACAATAAGTGAAAGTTGAACTGTTACCAACAAATGAAATGTTACAAAAGCAGATACTTACTGACCAAATGTTGACACTTAATAAAAAAGATCTTGCACAAGTTATTTATTTTTGTAAATAAAATATTACTACTTAAAAATAATTTGAATTCCAATGATGTGACACAGGAAGTGAAACTTATTAAAAATGGTGAAGAATGGTTCCTTTACATTACTATTGGGAGAGAATATAAATAACCATATATTTAACACTTTATTTGCTTAAAAATAAATTCCTTACAGTCAATAAGACATGAAAAATTGTCAATTATCCCAGAAATTGATTAAACAATCACCAAAAAAAAATTTGAAAATGCTATCATCAGCTACATTTTGGAATTTCCAAATGCAACTAATTTTAGATACAGTTCAGAATTTAATTCTTCAAAATGTAATCATTTCCCTATTTAAAAAAAAAAAATTACATGTGATCATTTCCCTGTTTTAAAAATAAGCATTTACTTATTTTTTTTTTTTTTTTTATACAAAAAAATAAAAGTGAATATGACATGAGTTCTTTAAAAATTGATACATACAAGCATATCTTGCCCATCCTGCTTTAGACATATTTAGTGCACATAGTACTAGTTCATAAATAAACTTTAAATTATTTGGGCTTATGTATTATGCAAACGTGTAATTTACTTGATTGTCAATTTTGATTTTGTGTCATGTTCTAATATGAATTTACTTTCAGGACCTAGTGTGATATAAACTCATAATTATTTTAACTTAGCATGGAAATTAGAAGTTTAGCAGGACCACTTAAAATTAAAAACTTATTTTGTTAGAAGTTAAACCTGAACAGTAATTTAACAAATGATCAAAAGTGATCTTTGCATGGGCAAAGTTCTTGGGCAATGTCTTAACACTAAACACTGTTAACATAAAGCTGTTAAAAAATTGTTTAAAGTTAGACAAAGGAAATTTCTCAAGAACTATTAGTAATAAAAAAAATAATGCACTAAAATTCATTGAGATCCAATTTGGTTTGTATTTCTTTTGGAACTTTTGATATAATTAAATGGATAAAAAAGAACAGCATAAAAATTGTTTAGAGATGGCACTTGAAAATTGTTTGCAAAATAAGTTATCCATTTGAACCTGAACAACCAGTATACCAGCTGCTGTGTGAAAATGCATATACCATACTTGTCAGGGTTCAAAGGCTTAAACTTTAAGTAATGTGAAAACAATTTACCACTTTCTTCTTGCCAAGTATCATTTGTTATCCAAAATCAATTTGATCTTTTATTAATCCTACGTGATTTAGAAGTGCAGGTTTTTCACATTCTATGCTTATAATATTTGTGATTGTAAAATCTGCAGCATATGTATAGATTCTTATTAAAATATCACAGGTAAAAATAATGTTGGTTCATTTTTAACTTGAAAATAAATCTAAAAATGTAACTGCAGTTATGTTATTTGGGGATATATCTGACAGTTAATAACTGGATAAAAAAGAACAGTAATTGGTAAGTAGATCAGAATGAATATAAATAAAAATGCTTTAAATTCAGCTTCCACCATAAGTAAAAGTTGTTGGAGTAAAATGCCTGTTTAGAATCAACTGAACTGTTATCAGAAGTGGAGGCTAGTTAGGTTCAATGATACAAATTCTAACTTCTATTAGAACCACTGTCTTTCATTCTGTAATACATTACAATAAAAAATTCCCAAGTTTAAAGAGCTCCATTTGCAACAGATACATAAAGATGTTAAGTAATTTATGCATTAATGGGATAAAGTAATAATACATGTTTACACAATGATTTTGCATTACCTCATTATCAGTTCTCATTCCTTTTTAAAGGAATATGTATCCATTACTATGAAGACCATATGTTTTAGCTACAATGAATATCAACTTTTTACACAAAACAAGAAATCATTTTGGTGTATATTTATTCATGTTTTTCATGAAATGTAGGCAATATACATTGAAGGATTCTGTAACAACAAAGCTGTCAGTTGATAATCGGCCACAGAAAAGTACTTGTCTTTACTAGTATTGTCAGTCACTAATTTAGCATTGGCCAAACACAATGCGGTTCAAATTAACACCTTCATTGCAAATTTTTTTTCTGATGTGTGTAGGCCAAGAATCTAACAATAAGGGCTTCCCCAGAGACATGAGTCACAGCAATGAGCAGAGAACAAAATTAAGACAATGTATAAATTTCAAAAAGGAGAAATTAATTAACATTGAGGCTTAATGGGTAAAATAGAAAAAACTGTTAGCATGTTTTGGGCATTAGTATGTTTAGTAGGAATTTACCAATAAACATTTTATAAAAACATTTTCTCTATTTCATTTATTATGGTGATTAATTTAAAATGCCTATCTACTTTAAAATGTATATTGACTAATGAAATCTAACAATTTTTGTTTTTCTTTTAACTTTTAATAGTCCTGTTTTCATGTCTAATAAAGTATTTAGCTGTTAACATTTGAATTTGAAGCATTTTAGAAACTGTTTTGCAATTGTTTAAAATCTTGGCTAAAAATAAATTATTTCTATTAGAAAAAAAACTAATTGATATCAGCCAAAGTTTTTTTGTTTTATTAAGAGATCAATCAATGTATATTGATTGCTCTTTTAATATTAGCACAAATTTTGTCTGTTAAAGAATAAAATAAAGAATTTGTATTTTATTAAGAAAACTTCCTTAAAACAATCAGAAATAAAAGAAAATAGTAGTAAAAACTTAACATTTGTTTGAAGTTTATCATGAATTTAATACCTGATCTTTGTTTAACTTAATGTGTGACAGTTGTACAAAATTACATATAGATGAAAGCTTTAGTGAAATAGTTGTTGCTATGAATATCCATTTGTTTTGAAAACTACATCTTAATTTCTGTATATCATCTGTATAATTATTTTAAAAGTGAAAAATAATCCTACATTGAATGATTATTATCTTATTTACTCTTCTATGTAGACTAAATTTTAAAATACATTTTACAATTACAAAAAGAAGTCTTTCATATTGAACATAAAAATATCTTATTTACCAACTTAAATCAATTAATGCATTCATCTAAACTACTCAGAACTATGTTGATCCATTTTTAAAGAATTTTCCACTTGGCATTTTTTTTATATTTAATTTTTACATGAAATTTACAAATTATCCTGAAATAATTTCTTTAATTTATCTATAAAGGTGATAGATTGCACACCTTTTTTTTTTTTTATAAGTTTCCATACCTTTGTTGCAGCTTTTGATCTTTTAGTTGCAAATTTAGATTGTTGTACTGTCGAAAAATTATTTAATCTCAACTTTTCCATGTTAAAGAATTGAATTTTGTTTTTCAATTTTGGTCTTTAAGCAATGTCTTAATTCATATAAATAAGCATCAATGAATAATAATGTGACCAAATGTAAACAGCTGATTAGTTTAATCTCTATTATAGTAACACTCAAAAATCTTTAATATTTTTAAAGAACAGATTTGCTATTCCAGTATTGATTTTGGAGTATTGCTGGAGCTGCCCACCTGTCACTTGCCTGTCTTGATAGTTCATATGCAGCCTTGTGGGTGATTCATTCTTTTCCAACCTACAACTCCTTTCTCACTATTTCTATGGCAAATGTTCTGCTGAGCTACATTCCTTGGTTCAA